TCAACACAGCTCAGCTCCCCCAAATTCTTTATATTTCCTAAAATTCCTAGGATTTTTATTTCAGTCTGTTTGGACTTTACAGGAATTCTTGGCCCATATACCGTACCAGATTTAGCAACTGGAATCTTGTGCTTTACATGCTTGCTCCTAGGGATTGAGCAGCTTGTTTGCTGAGATGATGTAAGTGATCCCAGTGGTTTTTATTGGCAGTGGAAGGCACACTGAATATTCAAAGCAAACAGAATTGATTTTAAAGAATGCAAAAAAGTAACCACTGTGAAACTTGTGAGCCTTGAAACATTTCTGAGCAGTTTTTCTGCTTTGTGATCTGTTTTTCTGGTGTAAACCTTTTTTTAATGACCTGATAACACATATCTTCTCCTTTGATAAACCTAAAGGCTCTACCATAGGTTTTTCAAAAGAGCAAAGATGCTTAAATTGATGTTATAGTTAGGTCAGCCACCTCTCCTTTTACAGTGAAAGAATAATAATTTGCATTTATATTACCCTGTTTTGTCCTGGGGCTTCACATAAGCTTTCCTCTTATAACACCAGCCTTCCAGAAATCCAATCTTCTCAAACTGAGAAGACTGTAAGGAAGAGGTGAAACTTCAAATAATTTTTTGTATTCCTTATGTAGAGCATTGAAGCACATTCTGCTAGCACGTGGTTTTCTTTGATTGAAAAATAATAGTTAATATGATCACAGTTTGTCTGTGGGATTCTTCCAAATGACAAAGCAGAGATGAAGAGTCCCACAAAGCCAAAACTATGTGTGCACTAAGCTGATAACTTTCAGAGTATCACCATTGCTGACAACAACACATTGGTCAAAAGCAAGTATTATTGACTTTACAGTCTTGTACATAGTGTCTGTAGACATGATAGGAATGTGGTCTTGTGGAGGGTCACCCATATGTTTTCATTTAGATAATTTTCAGTAAGCTTTTAAATATTGTTGAAGACCTTGCTAAGCTTGGTTTTGAATGATCAATTGGGAAACATTGTATTCAGAGCATTGCTCTGTTTAATTAATATCTCTTGAAGGGATTAAATCTGGTGATTATAAAGAGAAATAAATGGGAGGAAGGAATACTAGAGTTCAAATTCAAAATGTAGAAACCTGTTCACAAAACTCATCCTGATTGTAGCCACATGAAGGAAGAGACATAATGTGGTACAGTGTATTCATATTGTGTCCTGTGCTTGCAGAAGTGTTATGAATAATGAAACTATGCTTTTCTTCGTGAAAATTTTATCATCTTATGGTAAACCTTGCTGCAGAAAGCTTTTCTTGACTAAGAATATGTTTGAAATGTACTGTATTAGGGATGAATGCAGCAAAGATACTCAGTATCTAGAATTCTCATGTGCATAAGGAGTCCATTTGCTTTTTAGTATTCTTTGAGGAAATTCTGCGGGGTTCAGAACCGAAAAACCTGGAATTTGAAGTACTTTTGTCAAGAGTCTCTTTATTTTTCCTTATCCTCTTGTAATGACACACTTGTCACTACCCACTGAATGGAATAAATAGATACACCTGAAAAATCTGCTTTTGTGGTATCTCCAGAGATCAACAGTGAAACTCCAAAAGCATTGTGTCCCCATTGTACATGGAAGCAAGTGCCAAGGTCACTCAGACTCGTATGTTCCAAGATGACAATTTCTGTTTTGTTGATATTCCATGATTTCCCTTTGGCACAAAATCTGTCCAAAGAGACCAAAGTATTGGATGCATTACTTCAATATTCTTTGAGAAGAATATCAGATCTAAATTTTCTGTTGTGTAAAGAAGTTTCTTTTTCCTTAGTTCAGTCATTACAAAAACATCACGTTTCCTTCAAAACAAGTTGTAGTTCCAGGTCTTGCTTTGCGCAGTTGAGAGTAAGAGATAGTTTTGGATTTTTGAGGGAAGAATGGAGCACCTGTCTTATGTAGCTCAATTAAAAAATGAGTGTGTGTAAATGATTTCTCCAAAGTATGATCAAGAGCATCTCTGTTATGTTTTCTGTGCTGACTCACCACTGTCTTTATTGGTGTAGAGGAAGAAAATCTTCTTGATTCAGGCACTTAAGAAAGTTGTCATAAATTAGGCAGTTTGAAAACTCTCATCTGTAGGCAATTAGCTAAATTCTTTCTTCCCACTGGATAAATGTTTAATCTCTCATAAAGTATGACTTGGTTTTATAGCCTTTATACACTTACCTTTGCAATAATATCTATGAAGTTTTTACTCTTTCAGGTAGTCCCACTGAGTTCAGTGAAGTTATTTCTAAGAGTAACATCTATTAAACCTGGTTCTGTATTTCGTTTCTATAACTCAGTCCTTTTTGGTGTGTTATGCATGCATGTTATTTTCCCTTGCACATCCCTCTTAATGAAGCCCTGTTTTTATTTTTTTTATTTCTATTTTTTTTTAGCTTCACTCTTTCTACTAGTCTTGCAGAAAATAACATGCATAAGGAGAGGGGAATTATGTTGTGAGGGATAAGTTAAGACCTTTTCCTGCTCTGCCCTGATTTATTTATTTATATCTACTTAATTGATCTAGTATTTTATAAAACCCTTTTACATTTTTAACTTTGAATTAGAATGAAATTAAAATTTGGGTTGCTTTTATCTGTATTTGTAATGTTACTGCCCCTACCATCCACAGGGTCCCTTAACAGTCCAGAATTTTTGGTATTGGATCTTTTAGTGGAAAATAAAATTTTTAAAGTTTTCCCGAATGCCATTTTTGTCTAACCTGCTCTCCAAAATGAAATGTATTTAGTGGTCTCAGTCCTGACAGTGGTGAACAGCAGTCTGCATTACAAAACAGGCACAGAACTGGTGGTTTCTGCCTGGGGACGCTCAGACCCAGTCAGAGTGGGGGCACAATTACCTCACACCCCAGGGAGTGTTTTCTGAAGGTGAAGGCTGAGGTCATTCATCAGGCAATAGGGAAAACCATCTCTTGTGAAACTGGTCTCTGCACCAGCCAGAGAGAGCATTTCCCAGTGCTGCTGCTGCTGCTGGGGCCCCATTGCTCGCTCTGGTTAAGGTTTTGTAATCTGGGATCTCCCAGACTGCCTCAGATACATGTGCCATTTATTTTGTAGTAGAATGTGGAAGCAACGATTTGCATTTCAGGGTGATGTTTTTAGCAGGTTATTTGTTGGAAACAATATCTTAATATAGGTAAATTTCTGATTCTGCTACAGTTATTATGTGTTTTATCTTTCATTGGAGAGCTGGGACATGTGATTAATACACCAGTTTATGTTCATTAGTACATTATTGACTGTACCATTTGCTCATTAAGATGCTTTCCTAAGAGTTACTCTGATACTGAAGTTGAGAGACCTTAAGTGGCTGTCATCTTTGTGCCAAATGGATTAAAACAAAAAATGCTCAGCTCTTCTTGGTAGATCAGTGCGCAATTTCAGCTGGGTCATAGCAGGTTAATAAGACAAAGTATTGGGTTTCCTTTTGTGGTTTTTTCGTATTTGTTTTTTTGGGTTTTTTTTTTCTCTTTTGATAAAAAAAAATAGAAAAAGTAAGGTTTGATTTTGTTCATATCTTTACTTATTTCAGCTCAAAACTCCGTGTGCACCTTTTTATTTTGGAGCACAGTAACACAATTTAGATAATTTCCTACCTGTATTAAATTAACTATAAGTGAAAATTCAGATTAATCAAATTATTTTTTTTCCATCTGCTGTGTAAATAAGCCTTAAACCTCCAGTGGTTACTGAATAGGGGAAGTGGGTTAACAGGAAGAATGAATACAGGGCTATCGTTCTGAATCAGCCAGAGGGGACATAGATTGACTAATTCTTTGGGTCAGGGCCATGAAGGAGACTGCTGTAAAAGCCCATTCCTCTTTACTTTTTTATAACGTTGGTAGTATAAACAGGGAATGTTTTTTTCAAAATCTGGCATAAGCAAAATTCCTGGGTTGGAGAGTGGATGTAGAAGGGAGGAGGAACGTGCTGCTGGGATGGGCACTGGTGGGAAAAAAGTCTTCAGAGCCCAGGAACTTTGTCCAGAAATCTCCAAAAAAACAGCCTGTACCCCCCCCAAAAAAATGAGTGAGCTCCCTTCTAAGCATGTTTTCTCCTGTCTGCAGATTGAGGTGGTCGCAACACACTTCTTACCTTCAGCTTACTTTTTCCAGGTTTTTTTTTTTTCTTCTGTAACTGCAAAGAAAATTATTGGTGTCTTTTGGAAACACTCTGAAAGCTTAGATTTGATTGTGGCATAGGCTGCAAGACAAGCTCATTGTAAAGATAACTACAAATACTGGAGTGGGGAGAGAAAAAGGAATCTTAGCCCAGCAGTGGGCATGAGTTTATTATCATACTTTGACGAATACATCACCTGGAGATGTCAGGGTTTTTTTAATACCTTCACGCTTTGCTGTCATGTGTCATGATCTCCCTAAGATCTGTGCAAAAGTCACAGCTCTGGTACACCTTGGTCAGGTAGTGTTGAGAGTCCCATTTGATAGCAGGTATTTTTACTGTTCCCTGAATTTTGGTGTCTGTTTAAATTGCAAAACCATGGACCTTGTTTAATTTTTGAGGGGAGGCGGGGTTTATACATGTTGGTGCTGTCATGTTCTCTGTCCTATTACTTTTTAAAAATATATTTTGGGCAATTATAACCAAATTCAAGTGTGTCAAAGATATTGAGCCCAAGTGAGTGTTGTGGAAACTGGCAGCTGTGGAGATGAGAGAGTGCCTGATAATGTTCCCACCATGGGGAGGTTTACCCCTTACTTCACATGGGAAAATAATCCAGGGAACACCAGTCATTTGGTTTGGCTATTTATGGAAGTACTTATTTATTCTTAGAAATCCTTTGAGGGTACTTTTGTAAACTGAGTATCTACTCTGTACAAAAGTGTCTGGATGGTCTGTGCCAAGTGATGTATTGCTTTGATTGGTTGTACACGATTTTGGCATGTTCTGGTGGCCTAGTAAAATTGGTGAGTTTTTATTTCTCTCTCTCCCAAGATTTCTTTTGACCTAGCAGAATATACTGCTGACGTTGATGGGGTTGGCACTTTACGGCTCCTGGATGCTATTAAGACCTGTGGCCTTATCAACTCTGTGAAGTTTTACCAAGCCTCCACCAGTGAACTTTTTGGAAAAGTGCAAGAAATCCCGCAGAAGGAGACCACCCCTTTTTACCCAAGATCGCCTTACGGTGAGGAGCGCTGATGGTGTGTGTGCAGTGTCTGTCTGTCTGCTCTCCCTGCTCATGTCTCAGGGCTGAAGTCATTTGGGTGTGAGATCAGAATGATGATAGAGCTAAAGTGACTAGACATGTCGAGAGGCATACCTTTATGAATTACTTTATAAAAAGTATTTGCTGCCATTGCCTGGGGGTTGGAAATTAGCATCTCACTTCACAAGACCTTGTTCATTCAGCTCAGGGCTGAAGAGCTCTTGAAGAAAGGGGGGGTAGGGTGACTCTTCCCTCACAAAGGGTTGTGAGGTACTGCTGAAGTGATAAGGTTTCATATTTTTTCTTGCCTAAATGAAAGACTCCCAAGAGCTCACTTCTTCCTTCGTGAACCCGTATGAAATTTGAAACACTTATTAAAGCAATGAGCATGGAGGATTTTGGCGATAGAATTTCAAATCAATTTGAGTGTTAAGGCTCCAGATTTTCACTTTTATTCCTCCAAAGTAATTTCGGTTTTGTTTTGGTTTTTTTTTAATTAACAGAGGTCACTACAGTGGCATATTTCACACGCTCTGACTGTTAATTATATTGTAAAAGAAAAAATGCTGTGCTTGAGTGTGTATAAGAGAACCAGTAAGAAATTGCCCTGATGATTCCTGGCCAGTTCAGAGGCTACTCAGAATATAAGTATTTTCCCATTCAGCTGCTGTTTATTGGGCTGCTTTTTTTTTCTCTATAAAATTTGGGACATACAGGGAACTAATCAAATGCTAGAGCACTCTGCTGTTGAAATGTGGACTTCACCTTGCATGTGACAGAGACTTTTGTGTGTGTCTGAGCTGTGTATGTGCCAAGCATTTATACAATAACGCTTCAAAATTATTTTTACAGGGGCAGCAAAACTGTATGCCTACTGGATTGTGGTGAACTTCAGGGAAGCCTACAATCTCTTTGCTGTGAATGGCATCCTCTTCAATCATGAGAGCCCCAGAAGAGGTTAGAAAATCCATGTGAAACTGTTTCCAACTTTACGTATATCTGATGGGAAAAATAGAACAATGCATCCACAGGTTTCATTTAAACTTGCCAGAATTCTGTAGGGAAGGTGTTATGACTTGCAGCCTACTCATGGGATTTGATGCAACCCTCCTGGCAGTCTCAGAGCCTTAGAGCTCAAGAACAGCATCATATTCCATTTTGCAGCTCATGAACACCAAAGGGAAGTTTGTGTATCTAATTTTGTGTCCCTCTTGATAATAAGTAAAGGCAAAGATATTAATATGACATATTAAAAAAGGCAGGTTTTCTAAACATTTATTTGGGCAACTACATAACAGATGCAATTTCAGGTGTGACATACTCAAGATTTTAATTTGTTTGTAAATGTCAAATTGAGAGGCAGAAATAATAGATGCTCTAAGTTCATAAGACTAATTAGTACAGCCTGGTGTATTTTGAAAAAGTTTTGAATTATGGCCCATACCATTTTACAAGACGGCTTTTAACACATGGCTTTAAAAAGCCTTTCAGTTTAATCCTTAATAGCAATACAGCTTAAATTCCACTTAATCATCCCTTTTCTGCTTGCAGAACTTTATGAAGAATTAATGCTGGTATTTAGTTTGAGTAAGACTCCATGGTTGATTAGAAGTCTCTTTTGCAATGACAGTTTTCCTCTGCCCTTTAAGTACTGTGACTGTAGAAAACACTCTAAAATTAAAGTTTGAAATTAACACAGAAAACTGGATTCTCAGTGCAGAAGCCTTTTATTGTGGTCTGTTTCTAAATGAAAAATAAATTCAAGTTTTACAGGAATGCAATTATAAAAATTATAGCCTGCCACAAAATATAAGAATTTTAATCATTCTTATGTGATACTTATATAAAACAGACCATAATTTCAAGTCTGCTTAAAAGGAGAAAAAAAAATAAGAGAAAAAAGGAGTCCATGTCAATAGGATATAAATATTAATTTCAGTCTTTGGGAGTCACTGCTAAGAAACCTCATCATACAGTGGGTAGGTAGCATTTACAGTAATTGGTGGTAGAAGTCGGTGTATCACTTCACTAGAGCAAATGAAGCACAAGTTCAAAATTAAAGGAGAATCATAATCACTAGATTATTTCATTTAGAAGCCCTAATACTTTGCTTTCTATTAAAGAGTTTACTGAGATGTATTCATAGTGTGCTGTAAACCAATGTTTAAATTGCTCTGAGTTATCACTATGCAATCAAAGCATTCTGGCCATTGTAAAAAAAATGTAGGAATATGCAATAAAAAAATATTAGCTTGGCATGATTTCTAAGAACTCTAAGGAGCTAGAGGATGAGATGAAAATTTTATAAACACATATACTTTTTTTGATGGTCTGGTGTAGATTCTAGCCATTTTCGAGGAGGAAAACTGCAGTACTAGGTGCTATTTTGATCCCTCTGATGTTTGTTCCTGCTTTAACACAACTGCAATAGGATTTCCAATTTGAGGTCTCTTTTCAACACATTTAATGTCCCCATGGAGAAATCAAGTCTGTGTTTTGAATTCTCAGGCTATACTTTTCATTCTGTGTGTGTAGTTTTAGGTCTTTTATGCCATGAACAGGAATCTTGTCCTAGAAATTGTTTCAGTTGCCTCTTTTTGCCTTAGCAGGAGTACTTGCATTGAAAGCAACTGTAATGACAGACCAGTGTTATTTGAGTAGTGTTTTTGTGGGAAAAGCTTTGGAAAACTATACAGATAAGAAAATGACATAACAGTAGTTTTGAGATTGCTTCTTGATAGCCATGCATCACTTTACTAATACTTTTGAAGATTAGAAAAGGCACTTCAGGAGAAAAAGAGGATTTAACTGGAATTTCTAACTCCTATGCAAAGCTGGTAATACCCAGCTTGGAAGTTTTCAAACACTTTATGGTTTAGCTTTTTTATAATACTGATTTCAAAGATTGGGAATACCTGAATAAATCGATACATATTTTCTTCCAATACTATATACCACTATTTCACTTGGTTTCACTGGGTTACACTGAATGCATCAAATACAACATCCCATTGATGGTGATATTATTTGCATCTTGTCCACACAAAACCAAATGCCCAGGAATCAGAGAAGAGCAGAAGGTTGCAGCAGTACCACTTGCTGAGGTGTAGAATTGATCAGTCCTGGCAGACAGTGAATTTTAAATCATACTTTGGAAAATTTTTGTAGGTTTCTTACACAAAATGTATTTATGGAAAAACTGTGGAGAAACAAACTAGTATTCCTTATAGCCAGAGATCCATGAAATATGCTACACTGGAAGGCAACGGAAGGATGAACAGAATGCATTTTTCATACCTTGGAGCCTGTGTTGTGGGCTCTGATCATATAGAAGTATTTGTATTTAAAGAATGAGTACTCATGTAGAAAGATGGTGAATTGCAGTTGTCTGCCAAGCTGGTCGCTGATGTTGAATTGAACAAACACTTGTAAAGAATTTGCTTCAGGATCTATATTGTAAATGAGTGTTTGGGGTCACTTAAATAATCACCCACAAAGGTATTAGCAAAAATGGGTTTAATATGAATTTATAAAAGTGTGACTTAACAAAGTTTGATGGCAAGGTTCACTTTATTTCTCACCACATGGATGAAACATACAAAGGAATGCTGAGTTAGAATCAATTTGGAATGATTTGCACAGAGACTTAAAGTGCTACAGTATAAGGGAGACTCATTGAGTCATGAAGTTTCTAAACTGATGCAGCTTAGGTGCAGCTAGTTCCAGTCTTAGTCTCAGACCTTTATAATGATTTATATCTAAAAAAATTAACTCTTTCATTCATTATTATTAATTTAGCATACTGTCAGCAACTTACTGAACATCTGTTGTGAATAAGGGGTCTCTCCACTGTGATATCTCAGTCTCAGGTAAGGAATCTCAAACCTTGAGAAGAGTCTCAGATCAATGGGAAAGGCACTGCAAAGCACTCCACTTGTAATTTAAATAGAACTGAAATTGCACTTATCCAAAGTTTTTATTAGAAAAGTCTCTCTGGCTCAAGGAGCAACTTCATGAGGCGTCCTAACTCAAGGGAGGATCACTGCCACACAACCATGCTGCCTTGCAGAGACAGCTCAAAGAAGGCTCATTTAGGCTGTCAGATTTATGGGATAAATTGGTTGGCTTTTAGTTGAATTACACGTGATGGGAAAGGTAGGCATGGGACCCTTTGGACCCTCAACTGTCTTTGTTCTTCACTAACTGAGTCTTGGAAAAACCACCCACTATTCATGTGTGCCAAGCATCAATGCACCCTGGGTTAGTCTGTCCCTTCGTGGACTTCCTGGAGGAGTTCTTGACCCAGCTACAGCTCAGGTGTTTAGGTCCTTTGAGGCCTGTACCAAACCATTGCTAGTTTGGATAAAGGGGCCAAGTGCATCTGCCACAATCTCTCTTTATGTAATGATCGGATATTGTAGTGCTGGGGCAGCAGTGCACAAGCCTAGTGAAAAGGACCACTGTCTAATCTCAAGAGCTGCTTCCCTGTAAAAGGAGTTCAGGAATCTACACCTCTTCTTTCAGAGTGCCAATTCTTCTGAGTCTTTCCAGTTTAAACTCAGAAAGGAGCACCAGTAGTTAATCTCATGTAGCCTGTACAATAATAGGGAAGTCTGCACAGAGTTCATAAGGGTAAAGAGTGCTTAAGTCTAATATGAAAGGTTTCATATTTCTCAAAATTACAAAGGCTTGAGAGAAGTGCTGGATTTGGGAACATTTGGTTTTCTACTTTTATCTTGCTCTCTAAGAGAAAGACAGTAACAGGAGTAGTTCTAAGATGTGACTCCACAGTGTAAAGCTGATCACTTAAGTTCGCTGTGTGGGCTTCCTTTTAAGTATGGTGTTTCATGTTCTGACAATCAGAGTGACTTTACAGAAACACCAGTGAAAAATTCTAGGTTGGCTGAACCCACTGCCTGAGCTTTATATCTTAATTTGGGAATAGTACAGCATTATTAAATTGCACAAGTACTTGGATCTATACTCAAGAGATACATGTGCATGTAACAGCAGAAAATATTATCTAAAATATCATATGAAATAAAATTAGTGGCTATGTTAGACTAATCTTAATAAAATATACATCTACTTTGAGCCTTTCTGTAGTACTTTCCTTTCTATTATTTTCTTTCTATTATACGTACTGCCTCTCATTTGATTTTCCTTTCATTTCACTTAGTCACTTTTACAGTTTTGTAAGATGAAATAGGCACTTTTTGACCGGTACATACTTTTCAGCTCACATAAATCAACACAGCTGCACTGAAGTGAGTAGGGTCGTGTTGATTTATGCCATCTGAGGGTCTGGCATAGTACTTCCAGTAATAGTCTGGTAATGTAAGATAAGCATGACTTGCTTCCTTTGGGGAAAAGACCTGTATTAGCAGTATACTTTGCTAAAGCTAATTTCATCAGTTACTTTTGTCCATTTTTTCCAGGTATAGCTCAAGAGTTTCCTTATTTATGGTCATGCCAAGGTGAATGGATCTTCCATTTCTGAGGCTTATTTATTGTCTAAGTATGACATGAGTTGAAAAACAGTAGCTACAGGCAGTCTCTGTATTCGAAAATGAACAAACAAAAGAAAACCTAAAAAACTGTTCCAGAATAATGATTATTTTTCCCACCTCCCCCTCGAAACAATGCTGTGGGATACCAAATGGGCGAGGTGGTGGCTATCAAGTTGCTGGTGGTAGTTGAACATGTCTCCCAGTATTACCAGTGTGGAAATGTTTGCCCTATAGCAATATTGGAAAGATTTCTGTTCAGTGAGATGACGGTTTTGACAGTGGAAGAGTGAGGCAATTAGCAAGTCTAGTTTTCAGGAAAACTGGGGCTTAATCCAAACCTTTTTTACTTCACTGGAAAGATTCCTGTTCTTTTGTTGGGCTCTGGATCTCACTAATACCTCCTTTTCTGAGTGGGAAAGCAAACTTCTTGTTGACAGTGTCATTTTT